ATTGCGCCGCCCGACAAATTGGCGATTCCGCCTAATCACCCGACGACAGCGCTTCCTTTTTTTAGTTCTTTTTCTCTTACACCTCGACAAAAGACGGGCGCTGCGCCGGACGGCCCTCAGGGCGGAGGCTGGTTCGACGGAGTGGCCGCCGAGGCACGCAAGGCGGGGACCGCGCTGCGGAATAGCGCTCCGCAGACACGAGGGAGTAGAGAAGTGGGGCGCGTTAACAGCCAAGGATGTGGAGACAATAATGGGCACCATAAAGCGGAGGGAAGTAGGTTGGTACGATTTTTATCGGCGTTTGCTTTCAGGCGCGTTTTCATATTGCATATCTTCTATGTTAGTTGGCCATCGCTCTTTTCTACTTGGACTTTTTCGGGGTATTGTTTTTTGAAACTTTGTAATGTTTCGTTTTGGCCACAGCGTACTTCCGAAAGCTGGCTCTTTTCACTTAGCATTTCGGTAAAAATTAGCTGGTCCACTAGCGCCTTTTTTTGGTTACTGCTATTCATATTCTAATTTAAAGAATGAGACAACAAACCATTGCTCTTTATTCCGCACAAATGTGCGCGACGCGCGTAACGTATGTAACCTCTTTTTGTTGGTCAAGAACCCAATTTTTAAAACTCTTAGCCTGCACTATCACTTGTTCACGACGAGCAAATGCTCGCGACACATGAGTAAGTTCTTCGGAGACATACGAAGTTTTTATTCATACGAAATGAAGCTTCTGCTCAGTGCCGCGAAGTACTCATGAGCAAGTGTTCATTTTTATTCATATGACCCAAAACACCTTTCTGCGACCTTCCTCAGGGCGTAATGCCCTGTAGGCATCACCCGGACAACCTAGTAAATACTGACTCCGGCCGCGGAAGCCTACGCTCTCAATAACACACCAGATTTTTCTGGGGTACCAGGGGTCTTATTTGCTACCACAAAAATGAGTTCCTTAAAATATTTTCAGAGACTATTCAATAACTTTTTCAATAATTTTCATTAACATCACAAAACCCGTTATTTGGAAATTAGCAACAGCACATAGAAAAATAAAACATTTATAATACTGGAATACTAAGTACCATAATTACATTTCAGAAATATCATATAATACGAGCATTGCATGTGTTGTGATGAGTAATGATTCTCCGGTAGTAACATAATTGTTAATCAGCAGCTACTAACTCTTACCTTCAAACGAAAGCTTTAGTAGCAAAAATGTCGGTGACAGGTAAAAACATTCATCATTAAGTTGAAATTTCAGATTTTCAGTTATTTCTTATTTGGTGGTTATCAAAATCCAATTGCTACTTAAACACTTTTTTCTGTAATTGCGTTACACGACAACAGTCCCAAAAATAAATTTTTATACAATTACTGGAGAAGAAATAGGCAATATTGTACCAAATCTATGTGAAGAATAACTCATATCTAATAGACATTTATAGAGTTTAGGCGTTACAAACTTATTACTTAAATTAACAATGAAAACGATTACAGCACGTATGGATCAATATTATTCACTAATATAAATCATTGAAAGTAACTATTATTACTTTTTATATCAAGTTATATATAAATATAATTATATATTATTATATTTTTATAAATAAATTTATACATTTATAAAAGAAATTGTATGTTATTATAAATGTGTATTTATATATTAAATATATGTATTATATTTAGTTACTATAATAACTACAATTTCCAGACAATGAATTTGGTCTTTGTAGAAAATTAGGTGTACTTCTTAACTTAAATTCTGATAAACCAGACCGATGAGCGGTAAATAGCGCGAAATTGAAGTTTCATAAATTCATGTTTGTGCAATGCAATGACATAGACAAATGAACTTCAAGACCGTTGAAATATGTATTATAAACGAAAAGTTAACTAAATAGTTTTAGAAGCACGTGTGTTACAACTGACAGAAAGTTGGAAATACAATAAGGGAAGAAATGTGGATAAAACTCTTCAATACTGTTGCTGCTCCATTACTAATGTACGGATATGAAACCCGAATCATGTTCGAAAAGTCCAGAATTCAGTTAGAAGAAATGAAGTTAATGAGGAGCACTCATGAGCATAACAACCTAGGTAAGAAAAGAAACAGGATATAAGATAGAAATTGGAAGTTTAACTATTATTAGATCAGCTGAAACGAAGGCTTCCAGTATTTGTACTGGATTATAGATCACTGGGAAGAAGAAAGTTGGAAGGCCAAAAGCAAATTGGGCGCCGGAACAGGTTCATTAAAGACTAATCCTTGGTAATCCTTTGAAGAATATATTTATACTTAATTCTATTTTATTTTGTTTTCTCAATCGCAAATAAAGAATACAGTTTAGTTAAATAATTAATCAGTAAATGAATATTTTTTTATTTTGTGTAAAAAAGGAACATATAGGAAACTTCCAAAGACCATCATTTCCTTTCCAAATACAACTTAAATAGAAACAGTGATAAAAACAGAAATTGCGATTCTTCTTAATACAACAAAGTAGGTTTTTGGCAACTTCGCCATTTCCCTTTAATGGTATAATCAAAAGGTAAACAACGAACATTGAGGAGCGTTCATGAAACACTCAAACAATAACAAGAAACTTAGCCCTGGATGAGGAACTGTTAATCAAGCCGTAATCTGCAGCGTGGAAATACGAGAAGGCTTCGTACATTTGCATCTTGTAATACAAGAACAATTTCAGACTCGGATCGACTGAACGGCAACCTGACCCATATGCGCCCCCCCCCCACCTCACACATTCAGTAAGTTTGCAACTGGAATCCATAAGCGCACCCCACAAGATTGAGTTATGGAGGGTGGATGAAGGGGATGGGAAGCGGACGAGGGAGAAGGGCAGAACTTGCTTGTGTTCACGTGCACGTGCACGTGGGCTAGCGTTATGCATGAGGCACACAAAGGCCGTCACTATTCTTGCGAGTCTTGAATTGATAATTCTGTGGGTCGGAGGTATAGGACAATATGTCACATTTACTAAATTTTACAGGAGAGTTGTTTGAAGGTTTGCATACCTCTAAGTGAAAGTGGACTTGTTGTTATTTTATAGCACCGTAACTCCGCCATTATTAGATGTAGGGCATAGTGTAGTATACCTCTGAGGTGAGGTGAAAGGAGCGTAGCGAAATTTGCGTGGTCAGACGAAAGAGCGGGCCTGATGGCCCGAGTCTCGCCACGTAAAATAAGGCAAATTCAATTCAATTCAATTCACCTCTGGATAGAGGACAAAAAGCTCATATTATTGTACCAAAAAGCTCATTTTGGCCAAAAATGAACGTAGTATCTTATACCTCCAACCTACAGAATTTTATTTTTGATATTTTCCGTACTGGCATCGGTAATGGAAATTCGGTTACACAATACCACAACTGTAGAATTTCTATCTATATGCTAACTATATTATATTAACCATATAATTATTCTTACAGTCAGAGTCAGTGAACGACTTGTCTGTAGTTCTGTTCTTGAGAAATGATGTGCGTTACTCTCCTCTTATTTGAATGAAAAATACTATTACGTAAATACATTAATTAATGGAATCCGACCGCCTCAATAGGCTGTTCCGTGTTCGCAGTAGATTAAAGGCTCATTATTATATGCAATAGAATTCAGCTTCTAGCAGCAGACTAAAATGACCCATACCTGTGTCCTATGTAATGAAGGTACTGCCTGGGCCAATATAATACCACTAATCATATACTACGCTTACAAGGAGAACATATGTCAAAATATTGAATAGGTGATTGGCTGAGACGTAGCGCATATTAAATTTAAAATACTAGTACACAGTCATAAGTAATTATATATTCCCGCTATCCCGACTGTGGTTCATATATCAACTACCACCAAATTATGTCTTTGGACACTTATAACATAAATAATCCTCCACAACGTATTAATGTCACGTGAAAGGCGTATTTCTTCCCGTTTCCCACATATCGCGTCTAAATTGGATGCATCGACGCTTAGGGTTCGATAATATCGACCCATCGACATTCCACTCCGTCCTTTGAATCGCTACGAAATTCTCCTTGGAAAGAAGGCAAAAAGTGTCGTTGCAGAGGTACTCACTGACGAGGGTGACGAAGGGCAGCGAGTGGCGGTCGAAGTGCGTGGGCAGGCACGCGTCCTCCATCCGCCGCGTGTGCGCACCTGCAACAAACAGCGCGCCTTGAGTTGCACCACAGCCACAAACAACGAACGTTCGCTTATTAAACATTCACAAGAAATAAAATTGAGAGGAGGGGAGGGTAATGTAAAGGAAAAAATCGAAAGAAATTATATAATATAGGCGAAAGATGTAAAAGGAAAGGGGTAAATGAAAAATGGTTTAAAAAACTATTTCGTCTTCAATCGTTTTGAAGAAAATTTGTTTTCTGTTTTGTAACTTTCAGAAACTATTTTTGAGGAAGAGTGAATGAGAGACGGATTTTTTAAAAAACATGAAACAAAAAGATAATGGCTACGTAGCTAAAAGTCACAAAATAATAATATTTATAATAA